ATTATAAAAAAGAAATATTCGCTGCTTTCGATCCACCATTTCTTTTTTATGCTTTCTCCTTGGCGGATAATTTCCATCTCACGTACCCAAGTTTGTGCTATCACTACTCGGATGGATGATACAGCCTGACACTAGATGGTACCATTATCATTATTCAGACTAGTAGTATCATCGTTTAACAATCTCAAAGATTGAGTCTGGGCAGTACCACTATCTAGATCGGTGATACCACCACATAGTCTCGGAGACCTTTTCACTTAGTCCAACACAAACTTGGTCCAATTATCCCATTGAATTAGTCTAATTTTAATATAATTATGTGCTAACTATAAATTTTAAGATATTTACTAAATTAAATAAGTCTGTAAGTTTAGATTTCTTTTCGACGAGCTTCCAGCGATCTTCCAACGAATTTCCAATGATCTCTCGGCAATGTTCCAACGGACTCCTAGCAAACTCTTTGACTTCATAATGATCTTCTTGGTAAGTTCCAACTAGTTTTTCTAACAAGCTCTTGGACTTCTCGACACAAATATTAACGCATCCTTTGCGAATCTTGACGCTTACGATGGCCCTTTTCAACAGCAATCCTCCTCCACGTGGGTCACGTTTCCAGCACGAAACTCAACGCCTTCTTCGTGAATCTTAAAGCGTACGATGGCGTTCTCTTCCGATTTCTTTTTTGCCCTTTCCCTCGTGGATGACTCGAGTCTGTAGACGGCCACCGTCACGAATCCTAAAGCCTCACGTCAGACGCTTCGTGGACCGAGCAACCACGTGGCAGCCAGCTGAAGAATCGCTACTCGGGGCGGCACAGCCCGGTGACGGGCGAGTCGACCGACGGCTGCAAGAAGCTTCCTTGGCCGCAGTGACCCGTGCGAGTGCTGCTGATACAAGAAGACACGATCCAAACGCGAGTCTGACAGGTTATATCTGTTCCTACATGTATACGTGGAGACATCGGAAGGAGATCTCTTTGAAGAGGTAGCAGCAGCGAGAGCATGACAGCTTTGCGGAGCTGCTGCAGCGAACACCGATCGAGCACTGGCTTCCACCACTGTCGTCGCTCGACCTGTGTGTGAGACGGCGATGCTTGCTCCCACAAGCGCAGACCTCTCCTCTGTTGTTTAGCTGCAACCACGTGCTTGGATTCTGCAGGGATAAAGCTGTGCCACCCCCACCACAAGAAGCTGGGAGACATCATCTCCTTCCTCCCGCCCCCCACTTCCTGTTCGTTGCTGCATGCAAAGGGAGTCCACAGTTGCATCTGCGGGTGCGAATCTCAAAGGAAATCAAGAACTTGGCCACGCATTCCTTTCCCTCTGTAGACTGCTCTCTTTTGAATGCAATGATTAAGCGGTAATAAACTTGTCTATTTTTTTTTTTCATTTCATATACAATCCACAATTATTTTAATTAGAATAATTTCCATATTTGTGGTGGAAAAGTAAATCTACTTTTCTTGAAATTTCCATATTTCATATCAAATTTTCTACTTGCTCATCCAATAACATACTAAACAAACAGATTTCTCTAAGTCTTATCCAATGAATGAGAGTAGTTTCTTATGAGCAACTTTAATCAAAGTCAAAACTATGGTTCTAATATATTTTGAGTAGGACCCATTGTAGTTTTAGTTTCCATGGGATCATTTTCTAGATTCATCAAGAAGAGTCAAAACTATAACCCTATGTAATCCATCAACTTAATTCGGAATTTGATTGTTCAAATTGGATACTAATTTTGAACTAACCAAAATCTCTCTTTTGCCTTATAATGTTGATACCTTAAACATTGGTCTGATTGTGATATACTAAACCCTCTTACTAAAGGTTGAGGGTTTGAAATTTTATTTAATATATTTTTTGAAGGTGTCAGCTAGTTTAATCGGGAAAGATTTTGATAGTTTACCATAAGTTCCTAAGCTTGAATCTCGTATTCACCATTTATCCCTTGCAAAAAAAAAAAAACTTCGATAGTATTGAACCCTATAAAATTACGTCGGAAGATATTTTCGACAATGCTCCTCCGACACCTAAGTTAGTTTTGAGTTTGAAGGATTCGACTTATACTTTATGCTGTACTAAGAGAGGTCTTTAAAAATATACTAGAAGAGTCCTTTTATAGTGATATATTAATATTGTATGTTTATGTGAAACTTAATCATGATCATAATATATCAAATTTGAAATACAGTAATGGTCATTTGGATCGATCAAAATTGTTGTGGTATCGCGATGTTGAAAAGTTGACCACATAACGTTATGACATCAACTATATAATACTAAAATATTATTCATGAGGTATTGTTGTATCATAATGCAAATTCTCCATAAATAGCTACATTCATTTTTCTCTAAGGGAGAACTCAATAACTCAGATATCAGAACCACATATCTCTCTCTCTCTCTAATGGTTTTGGTTGGCAATGGCAACTTTTACAAGTTATCATCAATTTTCCATTCAGTACTGTCGTCTACTATTGTTCTCCTGTGGTCTACAAATAATATCTCCCATGCTTAACTGCCCACCTGGAGAAGATACAAGGAACCAATTCAAAGATTTCTTCCTCCACATTGCTTTCCAAGAATGACCTAAAACAAGGACATTGGGAAGCAAAGAACTAATTCATAGAATGATTGGTTCTTATCTTAGGGTACATCACACATGATGGCTGCTGAACACATGAAGGTAACTTACAAGTCAAACTTTCCTAATCATTAGGTTCCCTATGGCTGCAGGTTAACTACAGCTTTTAGATCTCCAATGCCATGGTTTCTTCTGGAATGCATCATTTGTTTCTTTTCTAGTCAACCATTGCAACTTCAGCTGCCACTGCTTTGTGTCCACTGATCTACAGTTAAGTAAATGATGCTTCTTTGTCAATTAGTCTCATTGCCACTTCATTCTTCCAAATCATAGCAAGTCAAGATCTCAAAAATGAGAGAGATGTAATTATCTCTCTTGGGATGAGTGAGACTTTTGTTTTCTGGTTACCTTTAAGGATAAAATCCACTCCACTCAAAAGCCCCAATTGGTGTTCAATTCTGTAGTCTGAATCAGTGCACAAAGGGATGGGATGACTGTTCTTGGAGACTTAAGAATACTCACTTTGTTCCTTTTCCTCTTCAGTCTATCTTTGCATGAGAGCTGTGGGATCCAACTGTGATGTTCTTTAGTTTTCTTGCTTCCTTGTATGATAATACTAATCAAGTAAGTACATAATACTATTATTGATGCATTAGCAACAAAAGCAATTGTAAGCAAAAGGCAAGTGGAACATTTGTACTTGTTGCTAAGGTACCATTTAACTTCAATTCAATAACTAATTGACAATCTCAAACTTATCTAATAAATTTTATACTATAATATTGATTTGATGATGATATATATATCATATATTTTTATTAAAAATTAAGAAATCAAAATGTTGTTTGACGTATTTTCACTTACTAAAGTCGAACTATCTTACATAGTATAAATTTTAATTCGTAAGATCATGAAATCGAATCATGTCTATACGACAAGTTAATATGGTTAATAAAAATTTATATTATTGATAACAGGATATCGGAATCTACTCTTAACCATTTATCATACGAAAAAAATCTAATAGCAGCTGAAGGCAGGTAGGAACCAATATTGGATCACAACTCAGAACCACTAAGAAAAGTAAAGGTTTTCAATTGGAAGCTCCTAATAATGAAAGCCCCCATCATCTTGTCTTTCTTCTCACCAAAACAAAATTCTTCTTGCACTCATGAAGAGGTGACAATTTGCTGCTTGATAACAATGGCCCAAAAGGTACTCTCACCATTAGACAGACATCCTTTGGATAGCACTACTACCCATCAGTGTTTGAAGCATCCATGACTTTATGCTGGCATTCCACCTTTGTGTCATGGTCATTAGGACCACAAATTGCAGGAGCCACATAGAAGACAGAGAAACATTTAGTTGATATCTCATTGAAAGTACCTTGTGCATGTGTTATCCCAATGTGACTAAAGTAAGCTTGCCACTGTAATGCTACACTTTACACATGCCAATCTCCATCCCCTCCTGCCATTCACACACTTCAAAAGAAGATCCTCCCACTGGAATGGAACACTCATCCTTCTTAGAAATGGGTCCTAAAGCAAACATAATCCCTGATTAAGTGCAGCACTCAGTAGATGTATGGGAATATGAGAGAGCATCTGCGCACATTTCGATGCCATGGGCTCATGTGCAGTCAACCATCTTTTGTCTGAACTCTGTGGAGAGGACAAAGCAGTGGCATATCAGAAAGAATGGGAGAGAAAGAGAAAAAAAGGAGTGGGGGGAAAAAGAGAAAAAGTTAGCACAACACACTTCACAAGTTGCTGAGAGAGCTCAAAGTTGGGGGCTTTCGCAGAAAGCCATGTATGATTTATCTTAGTTGGCACAACCTAATTGCGGATCTGATGGCACTAAAGTGAAGCGTACAATTGATAGGGCATCCAATGCTCCCAAAGTTGGAACACTTTCACCACAGTAAAATTGGATCTTCACCCATCATTTGGCATTAGATCGACTCAAAGGTTGTGCTAAAGGCATGATTTTGTTGGGCTGTGGCTTTTTTTGGGGTTAGTATAATGCCATTGAACAGTAATTGTGTCCTAATAAGCCATCTTAAACTCATTTTAAGCTTCTTATTCTTGGATTAGGGTTTATGCTTGGGGGTGGGGGGGTGGGGGGAGGGACGAAGACGTGGCCACTTCCCACCCGTTTCAGTTACCCTCTCGCCTACCTGCTCTTTATTGGTTGTGGGACCCCCGTGGAGGTTTGTTTACGCCCTCCCTTGGCTCCTTTGACCGAGGGGCGAAAGTCCACGTTGGTCGAGTGACGGCGTCATCTATCTACCCAGTGAGGGCTCGACACGTTACACGGTGAATGGGCCAAAATATATGTGCCATCGGCTCCGCCTTTGGTGCTCGGGCGACCTAATAATAAAACCCCTAATTCCTGGCACTCGGCCTCCGCAAGTCCCGCCTCCAGCTCCAGCTCCAGCTCCACCCAGTTTTGTGGCTTCGCCTCCTTCCTCGAAGGGATCCTACCTCGGAGAAAGGAGTTAGGTAGGTTTGCACCTTGTTTTTGGAAAGTTTTAAGCTTTTGAGATGGAGATCGGATTTGAGTCGTTTGATTCGTTTCGTTGAGGGATTCGGTCGAAAGATCGTAAATTTCGGGGTTTTTGTTTCAAAGTTCGTTTGTTTTTGAGGGAAAGTTCGGATCTTTGTTGCTCTTCTTCTTCGGTTTGATGCCTTCTTCCATGGCGACGGCGTCCTCGTACTGGTGCTACCGGTGTAGCCGTTTCGTCCGGGTGTGGCCGCAGGACGCCATCGTCTGTCCCGACTGCGACGGCGGGTTCCTCGAGGAGGTGGAAATACCTCCTACCCGTCTCTCCCCTGCCAACGAGTCCCGCCGCCGCCGCCGAATCCCCTCCGACGGCGCCGCGCACGCCCTCGGTAGCGACGGGTCCAACGTGGCCGCCCGCCCGCGGGAACCCTCCGAGCTCAGGTACCGCCGCAACCGCCGAGCGTCCGCTGGCGACCGGTCCCCGTTTAATCCGGTTATCGTCCTCCGCGGCCCTTCCGACGGCCCCCGCGACGCGGATCGCGCCGCCACCACCTCCAGCTTCGAGCTCTTCTACGACGACGGAACCGGATCCGGCCTCCGCCCGTTGCCGGAAAGCATCTCGGATTTCCTGATGGGCTCGGGCTTCGACCGCCTCCTCGAGCAGCTCGCCCAGATAGAGATCAACGGCATCGGTCGTGGGATGGGAAGCGCGCATTCGCCGGCGTCAAAGGCCGCCATCGAGTCAATGCCTACGATAGAGATCGTCGACGACCACATCGGGAGAGATTGCCATTGCGCTGTCTGCATGGATCCGTTCGAGCTCGGAACCGAGGCCCGTGAGATGCCCTGCAAGCACATATACCATCAAGATTGCATCTTGCCGTGGCTTTCGCGCCGGAACACGTGCCCTGTTTGCCGCCATGAGGTGCCGACGGATGCTCGAGGGAGGGCTGTGGCAGGGGATGAACAGGCCGCTGTCTCTGGAAACGAGGGGGAGACGGTGGGGCTGACGATATGGAGGCTTCCAGGTGGGGGTTTTGCAGTGGGGAGGTTCGCAGGGAGCAGGAGAGCAGGGGAGCGAGAGTTCCCGGCCGTTTACACCGAGATGGATGGCGAATTCAGCAACAACGGAGCTCCGAGAAGGATCTCATGGACCTCGAGAGGCAGTGAGGGTGGAGGAATTGGTCGGGCCATTCGCAATTTCTTCTCGTTCTTCAGGCTGTCGCGGTCCACTTCCTCGTCTTCATCTTTTTCCTCGAGGCCAAGCTCAGAATCGCAGCCTTCATTCTCTCGCAGACATGAAGGAGGCTCAGTTTTCAGGTGGCGTTCACGAAGTCGAGGCAATGCAATTGCTTGATGACGATACATAAACGTTTGGATTGACCAGAAAAAGATAATCCAATGCACAATACTCCCATTGATGAACATCTCGATCGCAAAGGAGCAAACTTTTCGTGAAAGACATGCTTTCATTGTAAATAGATTATGTCGGCAAACATCGTAGCAATTTCTAATCTGTATCTTCTCGATTCGTGTATCAATGTGTTGGAAAGAATCAACTAGATATCTGTGACATAAGGCGTTATATGCTTGCAAAACTTCAGGGGCTCAATGCTTTGTATCATCAGTTCTGTTTAGGAAATCAGTTTTCACCCGATGCCCGATGAACAAATATCCTCTCTTTTTTCTGCTTTTTTTTCTTTTATTTTCTTGTTCCAAATTTGATCGGATGCCCTTTCCATCGATGTTGTTTCTTCAAAGGAAGAGAGATTGGTGATATAATCTGCGGAGGCTCATTTGCGCTGCTCTCATATACCGAGCCATCCACGTGCATGCTACCGAGTACTTGATTGGATATCTGCTGTGGGTCCTTCGCGGGGGCCCCTGAGAATTGTATTCGTGGTGCGGGACCCACCACGGGATCCTTGCGTCCTTTCGGGGGTAAAGATGGATTTATGTTTCGTTCTTGTTTGCCTAGACAGTGACTTACTTCGCGAAGGCATCTCCTTCGCTCTGCCTCCGCCTCCTTTCCAATTTGGAGTTATCGATCCTTTACGAGCCATGGATGAACGACCGGATCACCCGCTGAATCACAGGTGCTCTTTAGATTCCCTTTTTCCGGTCAATTATTCATGTAATAGTGTTCTTAATTCATACCCTAGGAAACACTCCTCCTACTCTTTAGTTCTGGTTCTCCTTTTTCAGGAAAAAAATTGAAAATAAAATATTTTTCGGAGAATTATAAACCATGGCTTTGCTTGCATCAGATTTAATACGTTTAGCTTCAACATATTCCTTACGGAATTAAATTAGAGAGTTTAATTATGAAGGAAATGTTATTTTTTTGGTCAACTTAGCCTGGGAGAGAGATGATTTGGGCATCGATTTGCTGCACATTTTGAAAAGATTCACCTTTTGTGTGATCTAAGAAGTTCTTCAAGTGCAAATCGTTCAGTAGTAATTGAGATTCTGGGCGATTAGGTTTCATAGATATTATAGGCATTTTTAGGGGAACATTAGGATTCTGTCCCGCAAGTCATTATTTTTGGTTTGGACAGCATCTTTGTCTGTTCTTACACTCGCATTTTTCTCCATTCATTGACCTTCATATCTGTTAGCAAACTCTCACCTCCTCGTATAATGATAGTGCTGTGCATACCATTGTTTCCAGACATTGTGCGAATACTCTCTGAATCATTCAGGAAAAAGAGAGATTGTGAATGTTGTAACATCCCTCTTAATCAGCCTTCCTTGTGTCAGCAATCCAAGTTGCAGGCATGTCCTGGTATCCTTTTCTAAGACGCATACTTCGGGCCACCAATTACAGCTTCTTTCCTCTGATCACATCCTAAACCTCCTTTATACAGAAGTCCATAGCTTTACTTATGGTCCGAATCTCTCTGTTATAAATTGGCTTAGAAACCAGTGCCATCTGTTACAACATTAGCTACGTTAGCATACTCAGCCAATCTGAACTAAGAACATTCACCTTATCAACTCTTAGTAATGTGAACATTCTTCATCAGTTGAGTTCTTTCACAACAAAAAACACATTGGAAAGTTGAGGACTTTTATGATGTCTTGTAGTATTGCTATTCTTCATGAATAACTTAACGTTGACATGCCTACCAAGGTTTCTAGGTGCATTTCCTGGGATTACGAAATCAGAACACACACACACACACACACACACACACACACACACTATATATATATATATATATATATATATATATATATATATATATATATA